TCCAGGTTGGATTTTCTTTTTGGACGGTGGGTGTGAGCTCGGCTATGAAGTCGACAAGACATTGGGCCTTAAAGGGTCCTCGGCTTTCATATCTGATATCATACTCGGACAATTCAATTGACCAAGCTGTCATTCGTCCTGCTAGATCGAGTTTTCTGAGTATTTTCTTGATGGGATAGTCAGTCTTGACCACAATTTGGTGACTTTGGAAGTAAGGACGAAGTCGGCGAGTCGAGGTTACCAACGCCAATGCCAACTTCTCAATTGTTTGATATCTTTTCTTGGTATCCTGCAAAACACGACTGATGAAATAAATGGAAATCTATTTTTTACCATCCTCTTGTACAAGGGCTGCGCTAAGAGCATTATCAGCTACAGCAAGGTATAGCAAAAGTTGAGCTTGGTTGCGCGGCTTAGACAAGATGGAAGGAGCAGATAAGAATTCCTTGAAGTCGGCAAAAGCTCGTTCACATCAGTCGTGCCACTGGAAATCCTTAGGCTTTTTAAGTAGGGAGAAAATAGGTTTGGCTTTCTCTGCCATCTTGGGAATGAACCAAGATAATGAAGCCAGTCGACCTGCTAACCTCTGCACCTCCTTGTGATTTTGTGGACTACGCATATTAATCAGAGCATGGAATTTGTCAGGATTCGCCTCAATTCCCCTGCATGTTATCATAAATCCCAAGAACTTCCCACCTTGGACCCCGAAAACACATTTCTCGGGGTTTAACCTCATGTTATGTCGTCGGACTTGTTGGAAAATCTCAGCTATGTCTTGAACATGCTCAGCAGGTGATTTGGTTTTGATTACCATATCATCAACGTAGACTTCAAGGTTGCGTCCAATTTTCTTAGTAAACACCTTATCCATTAAGCGTTGGTAAGTTGCTCCTGCATTTTTGAGTCCAAAAGGCATAACACGGTAACAGTAATTGGCACGCTCAGTAATAAAGGTAGTATGGTCCTCATCTGGAGGATACATTAGGATTTGATTGTAACCTGAATATGCATCAAGAAAACTGAGCATACCGTAACCTGAAGCTCCATCAACCAACCTATCAATGTTGGGGAGTGGATATGAATCTTTGGGGCAAGCCTTATTTAAATCTGTGTAGTCAATGCACATACGCCAGTTTCCATTGGATTTCTTGACCATAACTACATTGGCTAACCAAGTAGTGTATTTAATTTCCCTGATGAATCTTGCGTCCAAAAGCTTTTGAGTTTCAAGTTTCACTGCTTCGCGCCTTTCACCACCGAGTTTCCTTTGCCTTTGTGATACAGGTTTTGCTTCCTTGTAAATCGCCAATTTATGACAGATGAAGTTGGGATCAATCCCAGGCATATCTGCACTAGTCCAGGCGAAAAGGTCAGCATTGTCAGTGAGAAGTGCCATGATTTTACCTTGAATGTCTGGATCCATGCATTGGCCAATTCTAGTACACTAGGTGGCTGTATTGCCGATTTGAAACTTGATCAACTCGTCAGTAGGATTTGGACGATGATCATGCATGTCAACTCGAGGATCTAACTCGGTAGTTGCTGTCAAGTTAACATGAGCTACCATGGTGGAGTTGGATACTCTGGGTGGGGTTGTGATAGGGTGAATCTTCAAGCTCTCAACATAACACCTTCGTGCCACTCGTTGGTTGGCTTTAACAGTCACTATGTTCCCATTCATCCCCGAAAACTTCATGGAGAGATGAGGGGTAGACACAACCGCTCCAAGTTGATTTAATGTGGGTCTCCCAATGAGTATATTATATGAAGTGACACTAACAGGTATTTGACTAAGACACGTCTGGAATTTGTTGTTGTACCAAAAGAAGTTAGTAGTTCAATAAAACCACGAGTATGAACTCGCTCACCTGCGAAACTAACAAGGGGTTCCGAGTATGGTTGGATTAAACTATGTGGGAGATCAAGTTTCAGAAAGGTCGGCCAGTACAATACATCAGCAGAGCTTCCCTGATCGATCAAGGTTTTATGAACTTCCCAATTTGCAACTTCGACCGAGATGACCATGGGGTCATCTTGGTTTAAGCTTACGCCTTCATAATCTTCATCAGTGAAAGTAATAGGAAGAGTTGGAGTTGTCGGCTTCGACTCGGCGTTGTCACAACTATTAATGCTGTGGATAGTACGAAGATGGCATTTTCGAGCCGAATTGGAACTCCCACCTCTAGCAAAACCTCCGGCTATGGTGTTTATCACACCACGTATAGTGTGTTCCTTAGGGGGTTTTTCGGTACGCTGTTGATCAGCGCTGTTGGAACTCGGTTTACCCTCTTCTCGTTGATTTGAATTGTTGTAATGATTGTTCTCGAAACGACCTTGGTAACCCTGGTATCGTCCTCCTTGATATCGTCCACGACCTCATCCCCGACCGCGAAAGCCTCCGCGGGAAGTTTGACCACGCTGAACATATTGTCCGAGTTGTCCCGCTTGAATAAGCTCTTCAATTCGGTCTTTAAGAGTCCCACATTCTTCCGTGGTGTGCCCATGATTCCGGTGAAAACGAAAATGTTTGCTTTTATCGGTGTTGGGCGGATTGTGTGCCGGGGGAGGTAGAGATATCAAATCTGCATGGTTAGCCTCTTCCAAAATATTAACACGAGGGGCATTAAGAGGTGTATAAAAGTCATACCTAGGACCACGCGTGTGGCGTGGTTTTTTGGATTTTTGGTCAGTAAAATAACTTTTGGATTTCTCTTTACCGCTACCGCTGGTTTCACCTTTGTTGGAGAGACTTTCTCGGATGGTGTTGCGGAATTCGGCATGTTCCTCCATCTGAATATACCCTGCTGCACGGGCTCTAAGTTCGTCCATATTTGCTGGCTGATGTCTGCACAGACTATCCACAAAAGGTCCAGGTTTTAGAGCCATCAACATGGAATGGAGGGCAACTTCAGGGTTAAGATGACGGATCTTGATGGAGATGTTGGCAAAACGTTCCATAAAACATCTTAGGGATTCATCATCTCGTTGCCTCAGGTTGGAAAGTGCCGCTGATGTTATATGATGAGGCCGACTTGTAGCATATTGTGCTGAGAAAATTCGTACCAGGTTGTCAAAGTTGTTCACAAAACGGGGTGGAAGTTGGGTATACCAACTAAGTGCTGCTCCCTTAAGTGAGGTTGGGAAAACACGACACATGATGGCGTCCTCATTCGTGTAGAGATTGACTTGAGTGACGTATGCATCAATATGCTCGTCAGGATCAGTTGTTCCATCATATCGTTCGATGTTCAACGATTTCCATGCTGGTGGTAGGGGAACTTCCATGATGCCATCCACGAAGGGGTGGCGCCGAGGAGAATGATGATCATACGTTGCATGACTAGCATGAGTATGCGTAGAACGATGAGTTCGGAAAGATTCTGAAATATAAGTAGGATCTGAAGTGGAATGATGCTCTTCAGTTGCCGTTGGAACATGGCTAGACCGAGGAGGAGGAGATGGGGAACGATGATGTTGTCCATGGGCACGAAAGGCTGCATTTTTTGCACGTAATTGTTGCAAGATATCTTCATGTTGTTTGCGCATGGTTTCCATCGCTGCTGCATGTTGGTCTTGCATCAACTCGATTTGCTCAAGTAATCGCCTTAAAGTGGCGTTTTCGTCCATGTTATTGGTTTGGCTCCGAGTTGACACCATAAGGTAGTTGGAGGGGGAATTTTACCAGGCCCTCCTTCTAGCGCCAAATGTACTTACTCGAATCAGGTCGTCTCTCTAACTCGGATAAGTCGTCTTATGGACCGAGCACCAGAATGCATTCCACAAATACCACGATGTATCTCGTCCATTACGTACTGAGCTTGGTCTGGATTTAGGCATTTGAGAAGAGGGGTTGAGAACCCTTGTTTGAATAAGTCACAAAATCCTATTATTGAAAACAACATATAGGAGGAAAATGTTGAACATTATCCCCAAACCTTTGAATTCATCCCATCACATGAACAATTTATGAACACTCCATACTTAACAAGTGGTGTTGGATATGACTTCATGAACAATTTAATTGAGGTTGACATTCAAACACCAGAATTTGTGTATGCTTACATTCAAAGCAAAAGTATCCTTCATTTGCATCAATTCATGAAAATGTCAATGGAGGCTCTAAAACACCCATGGTTGATAATGTTACAAGCTTTCATACATCGATGAAATCAAATGATGTCATTGCAAATGATGAAAATTGTAACTTTGACTATTAAATTAAACCCTAAAAATAACTACAAATATGTCGAAATCCAATAAGAAACAAACTTTCTCCAAGATGTGGTATTGATGGACACATGAACCATTAATTATTGTCTATAAATTTAATTTCAAAGTATATATAAAGTTAATTTATGTTTTTTTCTTATTTTGACATACGTGCTGTATATATTATGAATTTGATTTTCAAGCACGTATGAAAATTAATTATTTTATTTTTTATTTTTCTAGTATAATTGATCTTTTAAATTATTTTCGATGATGTATGTGTTCTCTTTATTTTAATTTTTATTACATAATAAATTTATATATCTTTAAATTATTTATAATCTCTTATAAAAATTTAAAGATAAAATAAAAATTATGAATTTACTTAGTTGCATATTAACTAATAGTTTAGACTAATAAATTAAATAGAGAAATATATATTATAAAATAATAATATCTTGAAAATAAAATTATATAAAAAAATGTAATTGAGAAATTGATTATGGATCAACTAAATTTTTAATGTATAAAAAAAATTAAAAAATCTAGGTGAGAAGTCAATTAATCGGTGACCAAATTTTCAGCATAAATAATAAAAATAACGCTATATATTTGAAAGTGTGATATTTTGATATAAAAAAAAATTAAACAATGGATTAAAAGAAAAATGAAAATATGACACGTGAGACGTCGATTCATCGTGCCATCACATTTGAAAACAAAATAGTCATGGAGAAAAACGACGTCGTGGCAGAGATTTGATTAATAATAAAAATTTATTTATCCTATAACATGGATAAAAGGTAGTGCAGCGGAGCAGAGGCATTGGCAATGGAGAAGCTTGCTTCTTCAACTGCAACTCTTCCCACTCAGCAATTCCTCTTTCGACTTCACCACTCTCTCTTTCTTCCCACCTTCACCACCTTCCACCGAAACCCCACCCATTCCCTCTCACACTTTTCTTGCCACACCAAACACCGTCGTTTTGAACCATCCCCCAACAACCAGGACCAGTTGTGGGTCAGCGAACAAGAGTTAGAGTTAGAGTTAGAATTGGAAGAAGGAGAAGAAGAAGATTTGTATTTGGACGATGATGACGACGACTCCTCGTTCTTGTCCCTCAGCGACAAGCCCGACAGGAACATTCCCTTGCTCGACGAATACGAGGCCGAGGAGCTCGACCTTGATTCCGCTCCCGACCACAAAAGCGGTTCGTCTTAGGGTTTGTTTCCTTTTTTTTTTTTTTTTTTTTTTTTTTTTTTTTTTTTT